CCCCCCTCCCACCCGCCCCCCCAGACAGTCCCTAAGTCCTGGCCCTCTAACCCCCATCCCTATAAAATTACCTGCCAGGGCTGCTTCCACCACCCTGCCTGGTTGTATTCTGGCCACATGTATGTACGTGTGCACACACGCACATGGCACCCCTGCCTCCAGTCGCCCTCCCCCTGCTTTTCCTAGCCCCAAGCAGCTACTTGCAGGCTGAAAGGCTGCTGGCAGAAAATCTCCTTTAGAGGAGAAAGTCCACATTTTTTTCCTTCGAGTTTTTCTGCAGTAAATGGAAAGCCTGGATCCCTGTACATCACAATGGCTAAAATTACCCGTAAGCAAGTAAAACAAACTGTTTTTTAGTCTATAAAATATATTTGTATCTAAATTGGAAAAAACCTATTACTTGTCTTACTCCTAGGTCACAGAGGATAACAGTCAAATTGAACTGCTAAAGAACCAGCTTGCTGATTGCCAGGAGAAGCTACATAAACTAAATTGGATGGAAGATAAGCTACACATTTTAGAAGAGAGACTGAAAGGGAAGGTGATTATAGATGAGAAGGACTGGAATAATCTCCTGAGCCGAGTCTTGCTTCTTGAAACAGAACTGTTGTTGCAGTCAAAAAAGGTATACATGTAGTTTCTATTTTATTCAATAAATAATGTATTATTTGTTATACTATCTAGCAGTAAGGATATGCATTAATTCTGAAGTGTTTGGCGGTCATTACCTATCAACAAAAGAGGCCAATAGGGAACTCCACTTTCTCCATGAGGCTTTTTTTCTCTTTCTTGTTACTTACCAAGTGACTGTCCAGTAAAAAAGAGCACATTTATTTCCTCAGGCTCTTTGGAGTAGCAGCATTGATTATAATAGGGGCTACTGGCAGGAAACTGCATCCCTGAGGGAACTACAAGAATAGCTCTTTTATTTTTATTTTATATATATTTTTTCACCATGGATAACTACTGTGCAAGCATTTGATTAATGCATATCTTGGAGGAAGTTATTGGAGGAGCTTCACTACTGTTTGGTTCAGTGTACCATTGTGTAATAGAAAAATTTAACTTGTTACTATTACCAGTTTTCAGTCCACCTTACAATCCATTCATCTAGCCCATACTTCCTTAGCTTGCCTGCAAGAATGTTGTGGGAGACCATATCAAAAGCCTTGCTAAAATCAAGGTATATCGCATCCACTGGTCTCTCTGCACCCACAGAGCCTGTCACCTTGTCATAGAAGGCAGTCAGGTTGGTCAGGCATGATTTGCCCTTGGTGAATCCATGCTGACTGTTCCTAATCACCTTTTTCTCTTCCAAGTGCTTAGAAATGGATTCCTTGAGGATCTGCTCCATGATTTTTCCAGGGACTGGGGTGTAACTGACTGGTCTGTAGTTCCCTGGATCCTCCTTTTTCCCTTGCTTAAATATGTGCGCTCTGTTTGCCTATTCCAATCATCTCGGACCTCTTCTGATCGCCACAAATTTTCAAAGATGATGGTCAGTGGTTCTGCAATCTCATCAGCCTACTCCCTCAACACCCTTGAGTGCATCCTGTCCAGCCCCATGGAGTTGTATATGTCTAGCTTTTGTAAATAGTCCCTAACCTATTCTTTCACCACTGAGGGCTGCTCAGTTCCTCCTCAAAATGGTGCTGCCTGGTGCAGTAGTGTGGGAGCGGCCTTGCCTGTGAAGACTGAGGCAAAAAAAGGCATTGAGTACTTCAGCCTTTTCTGCATCTTTTGTCACTAGGTTGCCTCCCTCATTCAGTAAGGGACCCACACTTTCCCTGATTCTCCTCCTGCTACTGACATACTTGTAGAAACCCTTCTTGTTACCCTTCACGTCCCTTGCTAGCTGCAACTGCAATTGCGCTTTGGCCTTCCTGACTTCATCCCTGCATGCTTTTACACTCCTCCATATTTATTTGTCCAAGCTTCCACTTATAAGCATCCTTTTTGTGACTTAATTACTGAAAAGTTTCCTGCTTCCTTGCAAATTTGCATTATGGGATATGTTTTAACGTGCCAGGCATGTGGTTTGTGGCACCACAAACCACATGTGCCTTCATGTCTGGATCCAGCTATGGTGTGCAGCCCTACTTTGACTGTAGTAATCTATAAGAGACAGCTAAAGTAACACTCATGGTAAAGTTAAATATTGTTTATTTACTTTCCCAAAGAAAGCTCTTATCACTGAAAAACAGAATATTTTTGTCAGAAGCATTTTGTCTAGGCCAGGGGCAGGCAATTATTTTGGGCAGAGGGCTGCTTACAGTGTTTTGGCGAGCCGTCGAGGGCTGCATGATAATCAGCCAGGGGCAGATAAATATTAATTTTCTAAGTTTTTTAGGGGCCACGGGCTGGATAGAATGTCCTGGCAGGCCACATCGGGCCCCCGGGCTGCATTTTGCCCACCCTTGCTCTAGGCCTTCATTCTATCAAATGTATCTAGGTTTCCTACCATACTTCTAGATGTAGAAAAATGTGCCTGAAGATCTGAAATAGCATAACTTCTTGAATACATATGAAAAGGTAAGAACAAGACTTCAGCAGTAATTTCAGTGGCATGGAAACAAGTTAATGGATTAGCTCCATTTTTTTCTGCTTCCTTGAGCAGTTTCTCATTGAAATCCTCTGCTTGATTCATTGTATTCTCATAAATTTCTGACCAAGGGCATGGGATTCCTCTGGTGCATGGCCAAAAGTGAAGAACATTAAACTTTCTGAAAATTTACAGGGTTGGTGATCTTAGATGTACTTAACATGCCACAGCAAATCAATACTACTTTACATGGTTATAGAACAGTTTTGTAAAATTTTGAAGTGTGTGTATAAAACTATTAATATTTTTTTTATATTTTATATTAATATAAAATACAATTATGTTCAGTCTTGCAAGATAATACCAGTGATTGTAGCACACTATATCTGTGAATGATATATATTCACAGATATAGTATGTTGTGATCGCTAATAGTATCAGGGTATTACTATAAAGTTGCAGTTTTGTTCTTATAATACTTAAGTTGAATCGACATTTTATGGAAAGTTGCTAAAGCTTATGAAGGCTATTTTTTATTTATTCTACATTTTCCTGTATCGGACCATTTTTGTCAATTGTAGAAACTTGGAAATATCCTTGATTTTTATAAACATAAAATATGTTTTTTTTCTGCATCACTTTTAAATTGTTTTCTTCATCCAAAGTTTTATTTCCCCCCCATGGAGCATATGTATAGAAGTTTAATACGTTTGATCCAATCTGTTCCCATGATAGCTTAAAAAAGATCTAATTGTTCAAAGATTACATATGGAGTTTTTGCTTATAGTTTGAATTTATCTCAGATTGGGAATGACTGAGTAGTGTTACCATCTGATGTCTGTTCACTCATTTTTATGAATGAATTTACTACTATTTTTTCAAATCCTACAACCATCATAAGAATTACAGTGGTTTCAAGAGGTTTGGGATCATAAAGACTGCAGTGTCCACTCTTTCATAAATGGTTCCATTTGGTCACAATTGAAGCAGATTGAAAGTACTGGTAAGCTTGCACCTTGGCTAGCTTTGCTGTACCTGTCCAAAATTATTTCTAGTCTGGAACCTTTCAACAACACTATATCTGTTCAAAAAAATTATAAATACATATAACAATGTATATTTACATTTTTATTGAGGATTAGTCTGAGGGATTTTAGTTGGTTGACACTTCAGATATTTAACACTAGTTCCTCTTAAAAACATCTAACCAGATATATTATACCCTGGATATTGTAAGAGTGGAAGTGTACAAAGACATATTTGGATCCAGTTTGTGTGTGGCATTGTTTTTTAGCTTTTCAGTATAGGAGTGATCTGTGTGAGCTTTCCTTTGAGGAAATGTCACTGCTCTATTAATTACAACAGGCCTTTGGAAATTGCCAAGAAAAAAAACAAACCTTTTGACTTTTAAAGAATTTTGCTTTGTTTGTTCCATGAAATTCTGTTAACATTTTGTAGAGAGAAAAACCTTTGACACTTGCTGCTTCTTTTCATTCTTTGCATTCATTCCTCAGAAAAAATTGGCAACGTCAAAATAACATGACCATTATATGATTAGGTCTTTACTGCTGCTAAAATATATACCACACTGGAAAGCTCTGAAGATGCCAAAGCAAAAGTAAAAAAGGAATGAGGGGGAACTGAGCAGAGCTGCCATCTTGAACTAACTCAAGGGCACTGATATCTGATGGTCTCTGGAGCTTGTCTCCCATTCCTGGCATTCTGTTACTGTCAGCTCCTGTAGTTCCAATGGTAGTCTATGCCAAGCTTCATGTTCAGATTGATAAAATGATTCAAGACGGGGTGTTATACTTCTTTGCATCCTAATATTTTGTTTCATTAAATTAGAAAATTACATTTTAAAAATTCTGTTAAAATGTGACAATATAACTGTTTCTTTCTGTAGTGTAAATGCAATGACACAATTTTTAATTTAATTATGTGAAAACATTTTTCCCCAAGAATTTGTACCTCATTCATTATATATTATGGGTGCACAAGTGGGTAGATTTTAAGGTCGCCACAGTATAACTCTGGTATTTTTTTAACTTCTGTGTTCTGACTTTGAACTGAAATAAAGTTGGTTTAATGTCTTTTACCTCACATATCAGGATGGTAGATTTTGTACAGGCACACACACGTTCTCCCTGCATCATAAAGTCACACGGCGCTTTCCTGAAATGCAAACAGTTCTAGTCCCAAAGGGACTGCAAACTGATCCAGAGAGGTACAACCCTTCAATGCCTGCCTCTGTAGATTAGCTTGTGTGATCAGTGCCTAAATTAGATAAACAGTTGGATGGTCCTGCTTTGAGCAAGGAGTTGGACTGGATGACCTCCTGAGGTCCCTTACAACCCTAATTTTCTGTGATTCTATAAATCACCCCTCCTGAAAGGAAAAATATTCCTACGTTTCTCCTGTTTTATATAAGAAAATGTCCTAGAAAGCTTTTCAGGAACCCAACAAAAGGAATAACCATTTTCTTAAAGAATGAGATCAACTCTAGGCAGAATTGATATTACAGTGTTTAAAACAATTACTTTCAACCAGATACTTTGACCAGAATTTTCAGATTTGGGTACCTGAAGTTATATATGCAAATCCAAAGTATAGACTCCTAATTCATGACCTAGTACTTAATGAGGCACTTGTGCACTAACTAATCCTTTCTATTGAGAGCAACATCACTTGTTTGTGTTTATTTTTAATCAGACTTCTAGCCTGATCAAATGATTACATCTGAATTGCTAGACACTCAGTTTTGAAACTTTGTTGTATGGTTTTACAGCAGGGTTACTATTTAAAAAAAAGACTGATCTACTTAATGTGTGATATAAATATGTGTAACATTGTAAAAGGTTACATTTTACATGTTCTAGGTCCTCAACAGAATACGGCACATTTAATGCATTAACCACTCTATAAATTGCAACATTCCCCACTTGCAAGCAATTTATGGTCCAATAAAATGGCAAATGAGCCACAAAGATGGTCCAGTAAGCACAGAACATCTTTTTGGCTAGTTAGTATCACGCTTAATTTGAATGCACAGAAAACATTCGGTGCAGGAGACTGAGATCAGAGAGTTGCTTCTTGCACCCATAAGCAGCCCAGCTGCATGCGTGCCCTTTGAACATGTGGGGAAGGAGGGGGACAGGATGGGGATCTGCTCCTAGATTTGGGCTACACGATGCCCCTTTCAAGCCCCTTTCCACCAGGGGCTGCCACTCCTATTCCTTGAAAGACATGCAGTGTAAGTCCATGTGTTGCAACATTTAAAGCAGTGTGGTGCATTTAAAGCCTCAGAGCTCTAACTATCCCAGTGCATAGGCTATACTGCACACTTTTCAAGGGGTAGGGAGCAGCTCTGTCCCAGGCCTGGAACACAGTCAGCACCTGCCCCTTGAAAGTGCACCATGCACACTGACATCTGGGACCCAGTCTCTGATGTTGGGCTGTCTGGTGAGTCTGTAAAAGTCTTTAAGGGCCAGGCACAAGGGGACCCCTGGATTGAAGACTGGGAAACTGATTCAGGGGTCCTCCACCTCAACGAAGGTGCAACAGGATGCGATCCTGGGTCCCAAAAATCATGTGTGGTGTCATGCATGTCTGACATAGCAGCATGTGTGATATTGGGGATGTGGGATCAGATCCCATTGCACAAATAAATGAATGTCTGCTAGGGCTCTTACTCCACAGAAGCAGTTCCATAAAACTGCTTGTAATATTGGTTCAGTATAGTAAAAATCTATGCATATATTCAATATTTGATTATCATTCTCATTATGCTCAGCATTTATGTAAGATGTGTGGCTAACGGTTTTTTTTGTTGTAACTGGCAAAATCTCCTACTGTTTCAGAGTGACTTATCTACAGAATTCAACAATATAGGTGAAGAATGTACCTCTAGTAGGAATATGATTCCAGTGTCTCCTGGTAAGATTTATAATATTTTAACTAATTTTTTTTAATATAACTTTTGCTAACCTCAGATAAAATTGTATTGTAAGATTTTACTTTGTTTAAATAGATACTCTACATTTGAAAGCTTCTCAGGATTTTTTTAAAAGATTCAGTTTCAGGCGCTAACCCAACCTTGGAAATAGCCTGTTGTGTGGGTTACTAGCATATTTTCCTTTCTCACTGGGTGTCTACACATGCAATTAACGTGAAGCAATTAACTTCACCACTTATTGCACCAGAGTTTACTGCTCTCAGGCATGCCGGGGGGTCAGCGTACCAGCCCAGGGATGCTCCTGCCTGGCTCAATGTGCTGTGGATGGCCTGGCTGGCTCTTTTCCGGGGCTAGCTGGCAGGCAGCCCAGCACCGAAGCTAATGCCCCAGCCCCTCAGCATCACACATGCGTTATTGCATCAGAGTAAAAAACTCTGCAGCAGAATAATACTTGTATTTACAAATATTATCCTGCTGCTGAGTTTGAGTTTCCTGCAGCCTAATAGCATGTGTAGCCACTGAGATATTTACTGTGAAACTAACTGGGGAACTCTGCAGTCAATGTCTGGTGTAGATGTGCCCACTATGACCTAGCTAGCTTCCCCATCTTGCCTTGTTGTTGTTGTTGTTCTAATCACTTTTTTCATCTTATGTTTTATAAAATGCTTTCTTTTGTATGTGCCCTCACAAATAAGCGTAGTTAGCTATTATAGAGAAAAATATTGTGTTTACTTTCATGCCACATGCCCATTTTTCTCAAAATCACCCCCAAATTGGGGTGCATATCTTAAGAATGGAAACTGAATTTTATGCTTCAGTGGCTACATAAGGATGCTGGAATGGCTGTCAGGCTGTTCTCCTTTCCCAGCCATAAAGGAAGGGGCAACAGAGTGCAATCTGCACTATCTGCTTTGATTTTAACTCTTTCAGAGCTACTGCTGAATTGGCAGTAGCTTTCACCTGAGCAGCAAAAATCTGCTACAGATTCAGCAGTGGGTAAGAGGGGGGCCAAAACCTTAACTTTCACCTTAGCAACAGTGATTTGGATGCAGCCATGGGCCTTGGATGTGGGGAGAAATTTCATGAATTCCAGCTTCCCTACAAGGGACAGATCTTTTCTGGGGTTGTATCGTATACAAGAAAATATGGTAAGACACTGCATTTATAGCTATTTGTGACACCACTGAGCATCTATCTTTTCTTCTCTTTTGCTTGCCTTTCTTTCCTCAAATAGTATGAATTATTCCCCCAGATCTGATCGCTTACTCTGACAAATTCATTCTAATTATAAACTAGAGTCCTTTCTTGGAAATCGGTTTTTGATGCACTTTTCTTTCCATTTCTTTCTGTATTTAATTCTGTAGCCTTATTCAGTGACACATTTATCTTGCCCATATTCTTGTATCAAATATAAACCCATCTCATCTGCCCTTTTTCTGTTTGTGGTCTCATATGTACTACTTGGTCATGTCCATGTTTGAGCACTATCCATAATCTTGAACTTTAGAAAGTTGGGTTTCCTCATTTCTTCCTCACTCATTTTGGTCTAATTGGTTCCCCACCCTAGCTTTTTTGTTGTAATCACTATTTTAATTTTAAGTTCACACTTAAAATTCTGTCTCATTTATTGTCTCTAACTAACTTCCTACCTGCATTTTTAAGTTTAACAGTAGAACAGTTCATTATTGTGAATCTGTCGTCTTTAATCTCTCTCTCTCTCTCTCTCTCTCTCTCAATTTGATCTGTTTTTATTTTCTTGGGGCAAAAAATAACTGGCCCAGAAGTGGAACATACAGAACTGCCTAAATGTCACAATAGAGTAAATTTGACTTGTGGTTTGTGAAAGAAGAGTAAAAGGGCCCAATTGTGCTAGATTGTGTTGCAACAGGTACAACTGGAGGTCTGTAAAAAGTTTGAGACTAGATGTTTTTCCTGCTTCCTCAGTGGGAATCACCCTGTAGTTAGGCTTGAATCTTAAATTTCCATTTTAATCTTAAGTTTTTCTGTTTTACCACTCGTTATCCCCACTACCAATAATAATATTGGCAATATGTCCTTCTTTACCTGCTCCAGACACAAAGTGCTGAAGAACCTCTTCCCTCTCTCTTTTTATTAGGATTGAGAGCATCAGAATGGGAAATGGGAAAGAACTGCTTTTCATGTAGTAATTGAAAGAATAATAGATGTTGAGACCCTACTCCTTTCTGGGTTTTTTTGTTTTTGTTTTTTGTTTTTTAAAAGGTAGCCCTGACACCAAGGACTTACCAAACATCTCAAGCGCTCTACTTCCTTTTTACAGACCTTAGGTCTCCTCTATGATCCCACTCTTCCACAATTATGGTTGAATCTGGTGTTTAGTGGTTAGATGTTTGGCAATGTAGTTTGCAGACTGAGAATATTTTAACATTAAATGTCCATATTTGAAATGTTTGGGATTCTACCAAGTCCCTAGCTCTGAAACACCTTATGCAATTCTAGTCTGGAAAGGTAATATGAATGTTAAAGTTCTGAGATGCTGTCAGAACCATATTTTACCCATAGTGGTGTGTGGGGGAATATACTTTACTTAGAATGTTTTGGTAGGGCCTGCAGTTTATAATCTTCCTTATGTTAGAATCTTATTCTTAACGATTTATGCCCGTTATCAATGAATATGATATTTTTTGGCAACAATCAATATTAATAATTTATAACTAAAATATTTTAAATAGCTATACAACTTTAACTCTCATGACAAGCAAGTGAACAGATATACCAAATCTTATATACCATTAAAAACAAATACTATTTCTGCACTAGAAGCTTGCTGTGACATCCACAGTTGGAATTACACAACTATATTTTTGGAATTAGTCACCTATACAAGGTTCTGCCAGGCACTGTTTCTGCCACTCTGCTACACTATCCTTACTGTGTGTCCAAAGTTAAATTTCACTCATCACATGGTACAAAATAGCTGACATCTGATGCCTCTGAGCTCTTCTACTGAATAATTGTTTAATAAATAATTCATATCCTAATGCTTTTCTGAATCTAGGATCCATTAACTACATAAAGACAACAAAATGCTATGCTATTTTTTAACATTGAAAGGCATGCTTTCCTTTGGTACTCAGGACAATTATTCTAATGAAAGAAAAAGTTAGCATAGCACCAAAGATTTCCTTATATAAAGAATGGGATTCCTTGAAGCACTTAATGTTGGCTTAGCTCTACGCCAATTGGATTTGCTTTTGGTGAATGAATACTAGTCCTAAACTTAAAAATAGGAAATGTAGTCACTTTTTTATTTCTGCTGTTTATACTTCATATCTGAACAGAAGCACATTAAAAACATTTTTGTGCAAGCTTCAATCTTAAAAATGTTTACAAAGATCGTTAGTATAAGGAAGCTGAGTTTAAGCAATAGAATTTAAAAGGTCATACATCTACAAGAGAAAAGTGGTTTATAATAAGAAAACAAAGATGAACTATCTGAAATTATTATGTAATGTTTTGGTCAATTATTGTACTTGCTTAAGTGTTTGAATTGACTGTAATAATGATAAATGTAACATTCCTCTATAATCTTTATTGGAATTTCTTCTCTCTTTCTGTGTCATAGTTGTGTGTTCTGTTCATGCTTTTTAAAAGAATGAGAAACCCATCTTGGACCTTCACCAGTAGCATTTTTCTGTCTAAACAATGCATTCTCTTCTGTTGTTACATACTGTAAATCAAACTGTTCGATTGCTGACCCTGCTACAAAAGAGCAAAAAGGCAAAGGTGACCTAAAAATGGATATTTCTCCTTAGATATAGAAAGGAAGAAGGAGATGCCAGAGAGTCTTCATCAGTCGTCTGGATACAGTTCACAATTATCCACAGACCCATCTCCCAAAGCCACGACCATTAATTATCATAGTCTGACAGAGATTTCAAAGGTAAGTAAAACTGGCAAATGCTTAGTTGATTTCCTTTCTAAGGTCAAGAGAACAAGTAAGCATTAGTTTTAGTTGTATATACTATTAGCAAAACACTGCAAAACTATGCAAAACTTCATCTAGGTCTGTCTCATAAAAATCCTTTTGATATGTAAACAGTGCTTAAAGTAGTTTTTTTTCATGAATTCTCCAGGTTAAAAGTCCATCACTGAAGAATGTTGGCTTTGAAGAATTGACTAAATTTGTTGCTTTTAAATTGCAGGAGACAACAAGACAAAGAATGGAACGGATAAGTAAAATGTAAGTAATAGAAAAGGGCAGCAGTAATTCATTTCCCAGTAGGGAATTGTACTGGACTAATCATATATAGAATGCGCATATGTGTTCCAAACCTCAAAGGTCTCTACATCAGGTGTGGCATTTCCTTATGACTCCACTGGATAATAAATCCACTTACAGTTCTGCATTTGTGGGATGAGTCACTGTTTTGGTTTCTAACAAGCAGCGTAATGGTATTAATTTGGGATTAAAGAGCATTTAGAAATTGGTTGATGACCAATATAAGTATTTTTCATAGTCTGATAAGAGGTTACTGGAACTAGGTAAAATGGTTCAGCTTTTTTTGTTACTGAATTTTGAGATGAAATTTTAAATGAAGTAAACAGTCCTAGATTATGAAGATATCACAGAACAATTAGATGCTGGTCTTTAGATTTGTAAAGAAAATTTACGAATAGAAAGAATTTTAATTATACTTGTCAAAGTAAAATAAGATGCATCATCATCATAACTTGTACAATCAGAATTTTGCATTATACGAATTACCTCAAAAAGCAAAAATTATTAATCTCTTTATCTATCCCATTGCAACCCTCTAAGCCCTGTGATGGTGACAGCTTTTTAGGTCTGATTTGTGATAAGGGATGTGTGAATTACCTCTGTCATTAATTTTATTTTGGGGGAGGGAGGGTTTCTTCCTTTTCTTTGTATTTATTCTCAACTAATAGTAAATTTAGTAGGCTGACCAATGCAAAAAGACAAGAAAAGTTAACGGCAATATTTTAACATCATTGTACGAAATAAATGTTTTTACTATATTTTAAAAATTTTAAATATTTTTAGGATTGAAGAAACTTCAGAGTTGTTGAAAAATTCAAGCAACGGCTCTTAGTTCATGTCCTGGATAGACTTCTGGATCTCAAGGCTATGATGTAAATGTGTACAGTACAAAATTTATTTTAATATTATCATTTTAATACCCATAATGTTTTTATTTTTGCTTAGAGAATAAATGTTTTCTACTACCTTTTGGAGTGTTTTTTTACATCTTTTTTTTTAAATCTTTTGCTTCAGAAAATTTTGTTTAAAAAATATTTTTTGTGGAGTGAAGTCATTACAGCAGTGTGTTTCTGTGTTGACATTTGTTGGCAGCGTGCTAAGTAATATGTTTTTTAAAGTGCAGGCTAGAGGACCATGGTTTACATCCTGTTGGAAACACTCCAGCTGGGACTTACATATTGCACCCAAGAGACTTTCATACATACCATCTTGCCATCTGTACTGTTGAATAAGTCTTAATGAAAACTTAAATACACATATTGTAAATGTGTAACTTTTTTGTTTTGTTTTTTTAAATATAAATTTTCATGCTTAGTCAGAAAGCACCAACACATTATGGCTTCCATTAACACTGCCGAAGTGAGGGTCAGTTTGATCCTAAACACTAAAGTGTGTAAGTAAGTCCACAGACTTTGACTGTGAGAGATGTGTTGAGTGTTTTAGTGCTCTATTACCCAACACATTTTAAGACCAGCAGCACAGATGGAGACCATCCAGTATACAAAGATACACAACATTTTTATGATTTGAAACCATATAAAACTTCTCTTTGGAGACATAAGTAGATGTAAGACTTCCATAAACATGATATAATCAAATCAAAGGTACAAGTGTATGTATTAGTTGGCATATGGAGATGAATTTTTAAAATTCTTTTTAAATTACTGAGAATGAAAGCATATCATGTCAAGAAACTTTGTACTTGTGCGACAGCTATCCACATTCTGTCACTTCATATGAAAAAATTCTCTAGTGACATTGCAAGAGCAGATGATGTCAAATGATTTCTATAGTATAGTTTGCAAATGAAGAAGGCATTCAGATGACCTGTTGCAAACTGAAATCTATTTGATGCAGTATAATTGTTCATTTGTTTAATAAATATGTCGATATGGACTGACTTTATTTTGCCCCCCCAAAAAGAACAGATGGTCCATTACTGTCACGTAAACTACAAGTGTGAAAATGTTCAACACTCTTACATAAACCTCATCTACTTAAAGTATTTTAGGCACTCTGTAAAACAAATTTTATAATGGTGATGGCGGTTCACAAATCACTCCTGGTATCTTAAAATAATTATGAAAATTATTTCTTCTAGAGAGAATAATTTTTTTTTGGTACTGATTTGAGGTTGTGTACAGATGTAGTAGTATATGCAGTAAAGTGGAATTATAGCACCACCATGTGGTGGTGATTTATAGAAAACATTTTTCTCTTTAGAATGAAAACATGTTCCAGTTTGAAGTTCACAAATCATTATTACTTTAAAAACAATGCAAACAGAACTTCTTTTAGTTGTTGTTTTTAGTAATTTTCTGTCTTGAATTGAGGCAGGCTTTTACTTTGATAAAGTATACATTAATTTTTGCAGTAATTTCCACCCTAAAAAGTACAGTGTGTGGCCTTCAGAATTCAATATAAGACATGAATCCCATTGTGCCATAAACTGGGAGAAAATAGAACAGTATTAAATTAGTGGGAATATAGCCATTTGTGTTCAGAAAAGAAAGTTTAGAAAGTCAAGTAAAAAGTAAAATCAGGAAGATAACACTGAGTTTATGGCAAACTTACTGAAGCACCAATATTAGCATGAAAAAAACTTGTCAGCAAAGTACCATGCAAGCTAATGTATTCCTTAATTTAATCCTGCAAATATGAAAATGCACAGTTGTCCAACATTTTCCAGTTTTCACGTTTAGTGAAGGTAAGCTATGTTGATATCCCATGTGTATTAGAACTTACACATGGGAGCTTACACATCTCCCATGTGTAGAAAAATAGAAAAATAATTTCTATTTTTTTAAAGATAAGGACTGCTTTATGCATCTCCTCATATATCAAGCAAACAAATCCCACCTTTTAATACATAAGAGACCCATGATCATGCAAGGGATAATGAAGCATAATTGCATTAACATAAAACATTGAAACAGGAGCTCCTCCTAAAACTTTAGTTGATTTCGGACTAGATTTTAAACCCGCTAATAAAGAACTGAAGCATGCACTGATATCTGAAGGGTCAAAGTAAAACTTGTAGCAGGTATCCAGTATTGCTTTTTAAAAAATATTTAGAGCATTCCTACATTGTAAATTAAACACAGAAATCTTTTTTCTTGGTCTAGTAATATAATCTGAGCAATAAGCATATGTATGTATGGTGGACCCTGAATGCCCTGAGTCCTAGCTAGGAATAAAGCTATTGCAGCATGTAGCCTCAGCACACAGATAGGCTTAATGCAGGGATGGGCAGTTATTTCATCTGGTAGGCCACTTAACAAGTTTTGGTGAGCTGTTGAGGGCCACACACACAAAAATATTTCAGAAGATATCATTTTAACAAATTATAGATATGTCATGTGCTAACAACCAAACATCTATTATAATATTTTAATTTTATTTCAAAAATAATTTTTGTCCTGTTTTTTTTTGAGTAGTATATATAAAGGTGATCATAGGCAAAGTGTAGGGGGTGCACTGGTTTCCCCATCCCTCGGGAGGTGGGGAGGCAGGCATTTCTAGGCTTGGTGTCCAGCAGTGGGGGACCCCCCCCCCACAGTTGGCAATCAGCCACGGACACCATCACAGCTGCCTGCAGACAGTCCCCACTTGGCCTGTCCTCGCTACTGGTGCTTGCGTCACTGCCTGCACGTGGTCGCCATGCTTCCCCGGTCTCAGTAGGCACATGCCGCCTATGGAGGCGATTGCATAATAGCTCAAAATAGTCTTGCTCTTGTATGTTGTTGGGTGGGGGAAGAGGGACTGTGCAGGGAGTGCGCACATTTTAGGGGGCAATTAGTACACTAGGCCCCAGGAGCTGGCTGGGGGTATGGGAAACCCGCACCATGCCCAGGGCAGCCCACTCTGCGCTTCTGCCTACACCTGCCAACAGCACTGCCCTGGCCCCAGTTCAACACACACAGCTTCCTAGCAAGGCTGCTCTGGCTGTTGCTTCAGCTGCCCAGGTCTAGGTACTGCTCAACTCCCCTGCCTTCGGCGTCTCCTCCTCCTGCCCTGGAAGTGATGATGTCTGTGGGGGTATGTGCCAGGCACGACATGCCCAACCAGGTGGGAAGGAAGCTGCAGCTGAGTGGCTCCTGCCTCAGCTCCAGCTTCAGCTCATGGCCACCTTCCACTCATTCCACCTGCCTGGTGCAATGAGCAACCACCTATGGGCAGCCAAATGGGTGGAAGGTGGCTGGAACAGCACAGCAGGACAGGAGTAGGAGGAGCTGCTGGAGCAGCAGCAGATTAATATATTTCTGTTATCTGCATTAATCTGAAAAAAGGTCATCATGACTACTCAGCATATTCCATTTTCTTGTAATTGTTTTTATTTGAATTATTAAATAATTTCACACTTGTTCTTGGAGAAAAATATATATGAAAGAACTGTTATTTTTGTTATGTACTGTAGCCAGATAGAGAAGGCACTGCTATCTTGTTGCAGTTGATGATATAGATAACAGTTCTTTCATGTTCTATTCTGTCCAGGTCTGTAAAAATATAAACTTGTTTGGATGTGGTAAATGTTGTCTGGTGTCCATATGGGTTCATAATACATTTTATAAGTTGCTTAAGTTCTTGTTATAGTCTGTAATACTACCAGCTTGCAAGTGTAACACTCATGCCAAATCCATGATGTCTTTATTAGTGTTCTTGTGCATGCTTTTCCCCTGCTCTCTGGTGCTTTTATGGTATTCATTTTCTCTTATATTCCTGAAGGGTGGCAGCACCATCAGGAAGTGAAGATACATAAAAGTTTTATAAGAGGGATGGGTTCCATTTTATCTTTGTTTTTAGTTTAAAGAATACTTGGGGGATCAATTTATAATGTTTTTGGAAAAGCATATTTCTAATACGGCTGTCACTTGTACATGCTCGTAGCAATTTTTCATTTAGGATTAGTTCAAACACAGTAAGTCACAAGCAACGTAGAATTGAAGGTTAGCCATCATCTACTTTAACCCAGACCATAACATATTCACATTTAGACATTTAAGCCAGTCATTGTTTTTCCAACTTCTGGACACTTTCAGCTACCAATCACTTTTCTCAACATCTGAATAAACTGTAACTTTTTTCAAAATTCAGATGGCATGATCTCATAAACCTCAGAAAAGACAGTAAATAAGCTGCTTTTAAAAGGGGACTAATTCAGGACATCTTTACAGGTTGTAATGCAGCACACTGAGCTCTAAAGTTTTCATAGGCAGATTTCTGTGGAGCAGCGTCCTGTTCTTCATCATTCTCAAGATGTTTAACATAATCTGATGCATCTACTACATCAGACTAGCAGTCGGCAAAAGATCAGTCATAAAAATAATGTTCAGCATTTTGTTCACACAAGCTTCAGTGTCTGTAGGTTCTCAAGAGCATTAGCTCACAGCAAAGTCCTCCACTCCCTAGAAGACAAGGAAAGAATACTTTTTACCATGAGCAGAGATTACGGTCAAGTACTGCCCCTTAGCATCTAAAAATGAACACTTCTAAAATTTGTTCTGAATCATTAGACCCTAAATATGTTATTGATTCCAAAGACCTCGGTTTCTAATATTCACAGAATCTGTTTTTGACCCAATACACAATTAAAATATGCATTTGGGACACTGAATGAGAGAGTCCCTTATTTACTGAGTGCTGAACTCTGGCCTCAGCTGAATAGCTTGTACTTGTTTCGTATCTGTGTGACTGGATGTGACCGAAGTATTGCTGAACTAATTAGAGAATCATAGAAAATTAGGGTTGGAAAGGACCTCAGGAGGTCATCTAGTCCAACACCCTGCTCAAAGCAGGACTAGCACCTACTATATCATCCCAACCAAGCCTTTGTCTAGCCGGGTCTTAAAAACCTCCAAGGATGGAGATTCAA